ATTCTTTGCCAGATTCTGTATTTCCTGAAGGGTGAAGGGTATAACCTGGGCGTCTTCAAGGTCTGAGCGAATAGGTTGCTTATTGGATGACGTGCTCCATCGTAGACCGCATCATCGCTTACCACCAGGCGAGATAGTGGTCAGTTTAATTTTTGACGTTTCAAAAGTCGCTAAATAAGGACTAATTGAAATAATATGAGACACAATAGAAAATACATTGTATCTCGCGTTATGGGCCCAACAGGGCTGATGCCGATACGGATTCGCGGAGAACCTAACGGGTAACCGGGGCTCCGGCTCGACGTGCAGGAGAAGGAACGGGGTGGTTTTTAGTCAGTAAGAGTCTGACACTCCCTCCCGCCTCACCCGGGCGGGAGAAGTAATTCGATGATTATCCCTACTTAAAAAAGCGGTTAAGTAATATATCGAATAGACTAATATTCATTATTTTTATTCCTGTCAGAGATTAAATGCCGATCAAATAGCATAGCTATATCTTATGACGTACCTATACGTATTTATTTATTCACTCGATTCATTCATTGATTATAATAAAACAATACACAATTAATGAAAATAATCACTATCAATGTGTCCGCGTTACTGCAAAAGTCTGTATAGGTTAAATCTCAAATCGCCTGGGATTTACCGACATTTGTTTTTATGGACTCTTGGATATCTTTGAGACTGTTGGGCACCTTGGAGACTCTTGGACATTTGTGTTAATTTTCTTCCAATTATTTTTCGTTGCTTCCGTCTGTGCGTCGCTGCAGGGGTGCCAACTGAAAACCAGTATTGGGTACTTACTGTGCTCCTTTCTTTGTGGGCATGTTGCCACCCCTTGCTCTTTTGTTTTATTTATTTTTATTTTTTATAGTATATATTGTTTTTGCTGCCTCGTAGGCCGAGTGGTCGCAATTGCGACTGCCGAGCAAGGGGTCTCGGGTTCGATTCCCGGGTCGGGCAAAGTATTAGATACTGGGTTTTTAAAAAATTCTCAGTAGTAGCACGGAGTCTGGAACTGTGCCCGGTATATGGCAATAGGCTCACCCCCTATTACATGGGACTCATAACATAAATAGTGAAAAGTGGGTGTTACATTGTACAGTGGTATAATGTGCACCTCTGCCTACCCCCTTTGAGGATAAAAGGCGTGATGTTATGTTATGTTGTTTTTGCTGCTGTTTTGAATGTTATTTTATGTTTTTTCTTTTTTATTTTTGTTCTTAAATTTTATTCTAAGTTTATATATTTTGTGGTTCCTCCCTGGTGACGAATAAAAATTATTTTTTTTTTCTTTCTCTCATTAGCAACGCTAGACAAATTAGAAGGGCGTTGCCCGTTTAGGAGGGCAGGCATTTCACCATTCTGATAGTATCATGGCGGTTTTCTGTGCGGCCGTCTTATTACTCTGATACAGCAGAATGCCGAAGCATGACCCTCCTATGAAACGGGCAGGTTGCCGTTGAAATAACACACATAACATCACGCCGTTTACCCTGAAGGAGTAGGCAGAGGTATACATTACGGCACTTAATGCCACTGTACAATGTAACACCCACTTTTCACTATTTATGTTATGAGTCCCATGTAATAGGGAGTGAGCCTTTTACCATATACCAGGCACAATTCCAGACTCCGTGCTACTACTGAGATTTTTTGAAAAAGCCCAGTAATACTTTGCCCGACCCGGGAATCGAACCCGAGACCCCTTGCCCGGCAGTCGTAATTGCGACCACTCGGGCAACGAGGCAGCTGTTTAAATAGTTCAGATTTATTAGACAGCGCTGTTACCTAGGGGCTTTTTTTTAAGGGGGGAAAATCATCGAATGACTGCTCCCGCCTGGGTGAGGCGGAAGGGAGTGTCAGACTCTTACTGACTAAAAACCACCCCGTTCCTTCTCCTGCACGTCGAGCCGGAGCCCCGGTTACCCGTTAGGTTCTCCGCGACTCCGAATCGGCAACAGCCCTTTTGAGCCCCATCTGTGGTGGTTACCTGGGGGCTTACTCTTGAACAATTAGTTGATCTGTACAGTTTAACTGAGGGTACGCAGGCTGTACGATGTGTGTGACATGCCTAAGAGACACAATGGAAAAAACAACGAACTAGCTGTTGGACAAACTTAAGAATGACTGTTTTCTCGAGTTTAACCGTAACATTTATAGTAGAAGAAAATTTTAATATTATATGTTTCCATATTCCTTGCGTAATTTACTATTAACATTTCATAGATTCTTTCAGCATTTCTCCATCGCATTCTTGAAGTAAACGTCTTAGATTTTGTTAACCAAGTTATTTAGTACGGAGGTAAGAAAATATAGATTGATTCAGTACAGAGACAGTAGCCATTGTTAAACTAAATTGTACGCTTTGTAACGAAGCTATAGCCATAACTGTTGTAGTCATGAATGAGTTCTGTAGTCAATTAATTTATGTGTCTATACTGAATCAATCTTTATTATCTTACCGTACTAAATAAGAGAATCAAGGGTGATCGTGCGTGGTGATCTACGTTTATTATATTCTTGGGTACTAGAAGTATTAAAATTATCCGTATTGAAAGTGAAATTCATGTGTGAATTGGTGAAGTAATTTGAAACCTTAGTCAAACGAAATATGGTACAGTTTTGTTTTAATTAATAAATTAATTGTGTTAATAAAACATATGTTGAGGAGAAGTGACGGTGTTATTGCAATTTATAAAGGAAAAGGTATGGTAGACATATTATATTTATAATCCTATTAATATTATAAAAGCGAAAGCTTGTCTGTTTAATTTTTATGGCATAAGCCGGTAAACGAGCAGACGGATCACCTGATGGTAAGCAATCGGCGTCGCCCATGGACACCTGGAACACCAGAGGCGTTACAAGTGCGTTACCGGCCTTTTAGGGATTAGGAGTTTGAGGATCGTTGGGATTCAGTAATTGGGGAGATTGGGAAAGAGGAGGGTAATTGGGCCTCCGGTAACCTCAGTCACACGACGAAACTCACTATAGTTTTCTGCTCAGCCGTGGTATCACTCCGGTCGAGCCGGCCCATTCGTGCTGAAGTATGGCTCTGCCACACTTACTATGTCTGATTTTCAATCACGTAGAAATGGCTGGTTGATTAAGGTCTGAAGTAACACATAGGCCAGTTTTTATTTCACCGGAACGCGGGCGACATCGCTGGCAGAAGCTAGTTTCTTCATAAATAGGGAACGCGGGTGAACTCGGTCGTCATAAATACCGATTGAATTAGGTACTTTTCTTAATCAAAAATAAATTATTTCGACTGTTCAAATACAATAAAATATTAAAAAATAATCACACTTTCATTAATTGATTTTATGACCAACCTAATTTTAGTATTTTTCCAGCAAATGTTTAAGAAATAAGTATGCCGTTTGACGCTAAAAAAAGTGACGTCACAATACATAATCTCGTACAAAATTCATAGAACACTCTCGTTTTTGACAGTACGAAAAAAGTGTTGAATTGGACTAGTTGGCAAATACCGAATTGTGCCCGGTATTTGGCAATAGGCTCACCCCCTATTACATGGGACTCATAACATATTCTGTTGAAAATGAAAAGTGGATGTTAAATTGTACACCGTGAAATGTATTTCCTTTTCGTCCCGAAGTAAAATGGTTCTCGAATTTTCTATTAATTTTGTACGAAAGTGTGAATTGTGACATCATGTTTTTTTAGCGTCAAACATAATATTATGTATTTCTGTGACGCCATGCGATATTTCAAATCAATATATCTTTGAAACTATTCGTTTTCGTAAGAAAATAAAAAATACGTGTCTAATATTTTTAAATAATCTACCAACTTTTAAACTGTGATCGCCAGCCTGCTCAAGAGTGGAGTATGGCAAATCTCTTTAATTTAGATGAGGCTCATACTCCAACATTGGAATGTCATCTACCCTATCATCTACCCTATTCTCATTTGGCCGTCAAATACTTAATACCTTTATTATTATTAACTAGCTACTTCCGCGCGGTTTCACACGCTCTTCTCAGCTCCTATTGGTCGTAGCGTGATGTTTTATAGCCTATAGTCATCCTCGATAAATGCGCTATCCAACACAATGAGAATTATTGAAATCAGACTTGTAGTTACGGAGATTAGCGCGTTCAAACAAACAAACAAAAAAACAAACTATTACGCTTTATATAATAGTACAGTGACACCTAGTTAAGTGAGACATCAAGGGACCTGCAATGTCGTTTCACTTATAGAGGTATTCCACTTACCCACTGTCTCAGATATACAGGTATAAATAAATATATCTGTCTCATTTACAGAGGGTTCCATTAACATAGGTGGACTTGGAATTACGTGTGGAATTTGTGGGTAGAATAAGAATGAGTAAACAAACAATGTTATCTCAGTTACAGAGGTTTATGCATATAAAATTTACTCGCTGTCTCAGTTATAGACGTAACTATGATGATAAATCGATAGAACAAATCCCAGATATAGAGGTTTACCTCGTCCCACTAACAGAGGTAATTCAGTGCCAAAGTGTTGGGACCTCAGCATGAGTTCCAGTTATGGAGGTTTCTCACTTATCCAGGTCCCACTTAACCAAGTTTCACTGTATAAGAGTATAAGATTAATAAATTATACATTTTCAACACATTTTTTACTGTTATCTTTATATATATAATTCTTCTGTGAGTGTGTATGTCACTAAACTTCTCTCAAACGACTGGACCGATTTTAATGAAATTTTTTGTGTGTATTTAAGGGGATCTGGGAATGGTTTAGATTCACAAATCAGCCCGGCAGATGACGCTTCAGTCGATGTTTAGGTTATTTATCCTAAACAGCTGAACTAATTTGAATGAATTTTTATTTATACATTCAAGTGGATATGCAGGACAACGTCTGTTGGGTCCGCTATTCACAATATATTTTTTTATATTGTTATCATGTGTCGATCAAATAACGTTGTGCTTGAGTGCCTGGCTTATGAAACATGTATATATGTAGTCTATTTCATGATGTTTTCATTTACAGTCAAGTCATCGCACGGTGTAGTCGTTTTAGCTGTTTCTACAATGCGGGTAAGTTGTTTTGTATCTATTTTCATGCTTTTTAAGTGTTATTTGTGTTGTCATAGAGGTATCCGGTTAAAAAATGTAATGTAATGATGTAGATAGATATTAAACTGTCAAACACCAAGCGGTCACCGGTGACCGCGACCTATTGTTCTTTAATCGTGTCTATAATGACGGTACTCAAAGGGTTAAATTAAATACTTAGGTACTGAGTATTTAAATTACAGAGTTATCTGTTGAATATCATCCCCTCAATTTGTTCATACAAAAGTAGTCTCTAAACATTGGAAATAAGGTCTGTAATGTAGTTAGTGGAGAGCGGTCACCGGTGATTAAAATTAGTATTTCTACATGATTGTTTTTTTAAAAAACCTTGTCCACACTTGGATTTTCTCCTGTGTCGTGGGTGCGTTTACAAACATACAAGTTCACATATCCAATAACACGCAGACTCGAAACAACAATTTGTGGATCACACAAAGTGTTGTTCCGTGCGGAAATTGAACCCGCGACACGTTGCACGGCAGCCGGTTGCCCAGCCACCGCACCAACCGTGTAGTGAAATAATTATGTTATAACAATTTTTTTTTTAGTGACGAAAATAGAACTCTTCGATAGTCCCCCGAACAAATTAATCTTTGAAATTACAAAAAATAAAAATAAAATATTCTTCCTTCTGAAACCATTGCCAAACCGGCTCTGGAACGCACTAAATCGTATTTCTGGCCAGTAACCGGATTGGTTACTCTTGAATCCAGTGCGATCAATGAACCAATTGAATCCAGTGCACTGGATTGAATATTCCCTATATAGTTGAGCTGGAACATTTTTTGTATGGGATAAGCCGGTAAACGAGCTGACAGATCACTTGATGGTAAGCAATCGGCGTCGCCCATGGACACCTGGAACACCAGAGGCGTTACCTTTGGGGATTAAGAATTTGAGGATTGTTGCGGATTTATTCATACGACGAAACACAAAGCAAGCGTTGTTTCTAAATGTCTCTAAATAATATCCCTGTGAATATTATAAATTAGGCACAGTTTTAAGATATTGACGTGCCCTTTCTTTATTTAGTTATGTTAGCTAGGGCCGTTAGGCCAAGGAATGTCGCGGAGAACCTAACGGGTAACCGGGGCTCCGGCTCGACGTGCAGGAGAAGGAACGGGGTGGTTTTTAGTCAGTAAGAGTCTGACACTCCCTCCCGCCTCACCCAGGCGGGAGCAGTCATTCGATGATTTTCCCCACTTAAAAAAAAGGTCAAGGAATCAATTGGGTACTTGCCTTCATCACAAAAAAATTATTTCGACTGTTCAATACAATAAAATAGTAAAAAATATACACACTTTCATTAATTGATTTTATGACCAACTTAATTTTAGTATTCTTCCAGCAAATTTTTAAGAAATAACTATGCTGTTTGACGCTAAAAAAAACGTGACGTCACAATACACAATCTCGCACAAAATTCATAGAACACTCTCGTTTTTGACAGTTCGAAAAAAGTATTGAATTTGACTAGTAGGCGAGTACACAATTTTTGACATTAGTTATATGAATTGTCTGTAAAACTTAGATCGATTCAGAGATTTTGGACTAGCTACAATCAGGTTCAAACATACCTACACAACGCTGTCTCCCATGGGGGTAAGCAGAGACTATTTTTTAAACTATCGAATGACTGCTTTCGCCTGGGTGAGGCGGGAGGGAGTGTCAGACTCTTACTGACTAAAAACCACCCCGTTCTTTCTCCTGCACGTTGAGCCGGAGCCCCGGTAACCCGTTAGGTTCTCCGCGACTCCGAAAGGCAGAGACTATGGAACGCGAATTGCTACGATACTTACATACTTCTTTCGCTTCATCGACAATCATCAGTCTTTTCAGTTAGCCATCTAATGATATCTGCTCTTAATGAATATCATATACATTATGAGCAAAAATGTCTTTTTTCTTATTCTTGTTATTTTTAAATGTAATTTTGTGTTGCAGTTAATATGTTTCTGGTGTTTCCTGCTGGCGGCGGCAGTTCGAGCTCAAAACAATGGGTACTACGGGCCACAGACTTTTAGACAAGTAAGTAATAATTATATCTAAATATAATATGATAACATAATACTTGTCTGAGACCACAAAACAGAATGACGATAAGGTATAATATAATATAAGAAAGCTGACATGCATTTAAAAATTTTGTCGCATAAGGAAAACTAATCTTAGGTAAAATGACTTAAAGCTTATCTCTACCTACCCCTTCGGGGATAAAAGGCGTGATGTAATGTTATGTTATGAAAATTGTATGTTTTTACACACACCCAGATTCGGAACAGCAATTTGTTGTGTGTAACACAAAGAGTTACATTGAACAATTCATTATCACAGTGGCAGTGTACCGCTGGATACTGCTAGATTGTAGGCATCTTCTTCAAAAGAGGGTTTACTCTTATCCTCAAGGCTTGGCAAACGGGTTAGAGATTAAAAGGTTCAGGTAAAGAGGGCGCTGCTGCCCGGTCTCTGGGCTCGTACACCAAACAGCGATGTGATGCCATGCGAAAAATTACGACACGAATAGGAATGATGGCAGGGTATGAAAATTAAAATTCTAATTGGCCCGTCAGTAGGTAGTAGGTAATGAAAAAATATTAGACACGTATTTTTTCATTTTGTCGTATAATAAAATGATACTTAGACAAAACGAATTAAAGTTTAGGAGTGGGGGCTAAAACGTCATTTCTACGTATAAAATGTACATAGAAGTGACGTCGTCATAATGTCAAAGTTACTGTACTTTTATTGCATCGATCGTTCATTGTTTTCCTTTTATTACATTTATGAAGTTTGTTAGACAAATTTTATCCTTATTGACCTTAGAAATGGGTGCAATAAATGTAGTTACATGGTGTGATTACCGTGTGCGGCAAGCGAATTTTAAAAACTTTGAATGCAGTTTTATTTCTTTTCAAAAATAAAGAAATGTTTTCTTTTAGTAAAATTTTCTATCTAAAGTGTTGAGAGTACTTCCCCTTCAGGGGGCATTACAACATTCCACCCTGTATATATAAAAAATACCACTCTAAAATCGAAAATAGTAAAAAGCAATTTCATACATCATTTTGATATAAAAGAAGTAAATTGTAGCATCACTGCCTCGTTGGCCGAGTGGGCGCAAGTGCGACTGCTGGTCAAGAGGTCTCGGGTTCGATTCCCGGGTCGGGCAAAGTATTACTGGGTTTTTAAAAATCTCAGTAGTAGCACGGAGTCTGGAAATGTGCCCGGTATATGGCAATAGGCTCACCCCCTATTACATGGGACTTATAACATAAATAGTGAACAGTGTGTGTTACATTCTACAGTGGCATTTAGTGCCGTAATGTGCACTTCTGCCTACCCCTTCGGGGATAAAAGGCGTGATGTTATGTTCTGTTGTAGCATCAATAAATCGAACTCCACACCCTTTGCTCAACCACTCGCACTTAAAACCACTGAAGCAACACCAATCTTTGTTTAATTAGAAAATCGTTCAATCAATTACCCATCAATTATTTGACCTGGACTAGTGTTGCTTAACCTAAACTGGAGCAAAACTGCAATACACTAGATGTCTGGTCGCGTGTGACGGCGTTCTTGTAAGGCAGTCAGCCAAGAACCAATTATTGGGTAACTAGGTACTAAATAGGTGTCGAAATTACCTATTTTATTGTCATGGTGAATCATCTTTTCTTTATGGCATAAGCCGGTAAACGAGCAGACGGATCACCTGATGGTAAGCGATCGGCGTCGCCCATGGACACCTGGAACACCAGAGGCGTTACAAGTGCGTTACCGGCCTTTTGGAGATTTGGAATTTGATGAGGATGCAGGGATTGGGGGGATTTGGGAGGGGGTTAATTGGGCCTCCGGTAACCTTTACACACAACGAAACACAACGCAAGCGTTGTTTCACGTCGGTTTTCTGCTCGGCCGTGGTATCACTCCGGTCGAGCCGGCCCATTCGTGCCGAAGCATGGCTCTCCCATACTTAACAACATATCTTAGTTGAATCCGTTTCCACCAGTGCTAAGGTATGTGTACCAATGAATATTATTGGTGAATGCCAACGCATTCACATACTACGTATAGCATAGCACATCTCTGGAGGGAAAGCACCCTAATAGGGTAGTTTCCTAAATTTTATTTTAATGTCCGTCTGGTACATTAATTTAAAACATTAGGCACGTGTTTTTTACACACTCACCCCCTATTACATGGGACTCATAACATAAATAGTGAAAAGTGGGTGTTACATTGTACAGTGGCATAATGTGCACCTCTGCCTACCCCTTCGGGGATAAAAGGCGTGACGTTACGTGTATAACCACGTGTTTTTGCTTTTCTCAAAAAAATAAATACTTTCGACGATATAATAATCTGAAATATCGTGTGACGTCACAATGCGCTACATTTTGTAGCACTTAGTGACGTAACGACCTCCCACTCCTAAGCTTAACTCCATTTTATCTAAGTATTGTAACTTTATACGAAAAAATAAAAAAAATACGTGTCTAATATTTTTTCGTTATCTAACTGACGGACTAATTAGATTTTTAATTTTCATTCCCTGGCAACTACCCTATTCTAAGAGATTACACATTTGATATTTGATAGAGACCGGGCAGCGCTCTCTGATAAACCTGAACCTTTTATACTGCGATTTCTAACCCACTACGCGGAGATTATAGCAAACCCCTTTATGTAGAGGATGTTCATCGTCTAGTTGGCGTATTATGACGACTTAAAGCTAGAGTGGTTCCACTGAGGGAATGAGATCTCGCCAGAAGACTTGTAGGGGCAAGTCCCTTAACGCCGGACGGCAACTTACGCCTTTTTTTTTTTTTTTTTAAGGGGGGAAAATCATCGAATGACTGCTCCCGCCCGGGTGAGGCGGAAGGGAGTGTCAGACTCTTACTGACTAAAAACCACCCCGTTCCTTCTCCTGCACGTCGAGCCGGAGCCCCGGTTACCCGTTAGGTTCTCCGCGACTCCGAATCGGCATCGGCCCTATTGGGCCCCATCTGTGGTGGTCTGATGGCTCTTTGAGGCGCGCGCGGAACGCGACGCGCCGTACGCTCGGGTCTGTTTCTGGTCGGACGGGGAGCCACCCATGCTCGCCGTCCGCAGGCCCGCGCTTACGGTGGCCGGAGATCGTCCCGCGATCCCCGACGCCCGGTGTGTCCTTCGCGATGGCTGGGTTGCGAGGAGGCAGCGCTTCGCTGCCTCACGCGTCCCGCCTCCTCCTTAGCCAGCATGACTGCTTCGCAAAAGGAGGAGACGGCATCCCAGTCCCCCTCGCTCCGCATCATGGCCTGAACTAGGCCCGGACGCGAGAGGTCTCCATCGCCGATCACTTCCCTGAGGGCACGGCGGTGCTCAGCCCACGCAGGGCATTCCGCAACAGTGTGTTCCACCGTGTCCTCAGGGTGGTCCTCGCAGTGATGACACCCGGGCGTTTCCTCCCGCCCCATCAGACACAGGTACCTCCCGAAACTTCCATGTCCGGTGAGGACCTGCGTCAGGCGGTAGGTGAGGACGCCGTAGCGTCTCTCAAGCCACTCCTCAAAGAGGGGACTTACCGCTGCAATGGCAGCGAGCCCAGCCCTCGGTTGCGACAGTCGTTGCTGCCATTCCGCCATGAGATCGCGCCGGAGCTCATCCCGCCACGCACTTATCTGGCGCGGCAGCGGAGTTTCGCCCCGGCGACGTGCCTCCGCGCGCATGCGATACACGCGCGCGAGCACCTTCGCCTCCAGATCCCACGGCGGTAATCCGGCAAGGAGGTTCGCCGACTCCCCAGAGATCGTGCGGTATCCGCGGATCATTCGGATCGCCATGACCCTCTGTGCCATAAGCAGCGCCCGAGCGGGCCGCTGCAGCAGGTTCGGCGCCCAAACAGGGGCGCCGTAGAGGGCCATGGACCGCACGACCCCGGCGTATAACCTCCGGCAGGAGGCGTTTGGCCCCCTGAGGTTGGGGAGGATGCGCTTAAACGCAGCCCCCATCCTCGCCAACTTTGGAGCCAAACGTCGGAAGTGCTCCACGAAGTTCCATCGACTGTCGAGGAAGAGTCCCAGGTACTTCATCGCCGTCTCGACGCCGATGGTAACCCCTCCCGCCATTATTTGAGACCCACCAGGAGGTGGCGCATTCCCGCGGCCATGAAAACACATGGCCTCGGACTTGTGGAGCGCCACCTCGAGTCCCAACTGCCGGATTCTCTCAACGACTGTCGCAACCGCTGTCGCCATTAAATCGGCCGCCGCCTGGTGCGACCTCCCGTGCGCTAGCACCAGCGTGTCGTCGGCGTAGCATATCATGCTAACGCCGTTCGGGAGGTCGGTGCGCAGCACCCAGTCATAACCGATGTTCCACAGGAGCGGCCCCAGAACCGAACCCTGTGGAACACCGCGTGACATCTCTCGCCGGTTCCACTCGCCCCGGTGACCGGGGTAGATGACGGACCTGTCCGTCAGGTATGCTTCCTCTTAAAAGTTGAATCGCTCGCGATATTAGTTATCGAGATAATATAAGTTCTCTCGAGAAAATATAAGATCTTGAGTTCGATTCCCGGGTCGGGCAAAGTATTACTGGATTTTAAAAAATCTCAGTAGTAGCACGGAGTCTGGAAACGTGCCCGGTATATGGCAATAGACTCACCTCTTATTACATGGGACTCATAACATAAATAGTGAAAAGTGGGTGTTATACTGTACAGTGGCATTAAGTGCCGTAATGTGCACCTCTGCCTACCCCTTCGGGGATAAAAGGCGTGTTGTTATGTTATGTTATAATATAAGTGTCCGGCGTTAGGTGCCGTCCGGCGTTACGGAACTTTCCCCTATTGCTCTGTTTCTTTCCCTCAATGGAACCATTCTGAGTTTAGGACGTCGTAATAACCCTACAGTAGTGGACTGGCGGCCGGTTGATGACTTATGTATAGGAATAAATAAAATTAACACATTTTGCATTCAAATTGACTGCCTCGTTGGCCGAGTGGTCGCAAGTGTGACTGGGCAAGGGGTCTCGGGGTAGGCCAAAGTATTAGGGTCGGAATTTAAAAAAAATCTCAGTAGTAGCACGGAGTCTGGAATTGTACCCGGTATATGGCAATAGGCTCACCCCCTTTTACATTGGACTCATAACATAAATAGGGAAAAGTAGTTGTTACATAATACAGTGGCATTAAGTGCCGTAATGTGCACCTCTGCCTACCTCTTTGGGGATAATAGGCGTGATGTTATGTGAATTCCAATTGTGTTAAAGATAGCTTTGAAGATGTATTTTTGTAACTCTTACACGCAGAATGACACTAAATGGATCTAAATGAAAGGTATATACGTAGATGGATAGACTATTATTATTATATTAGCTACTTTCGCACGGTTCCACACGCTCTGCTCAGCTCCCATTGGCCATAGCGTGATGTTTTGTAGCCTATAGCCATTCTCGATAAATGCACTATCCAACACAAAAAGAATTATTCAAATCAGACCAGTAGTTACGGAGATTAGCGCGTTCAAACAAACAAACAAACACTTCCGCTTTATATAATAGTATAAGTCCTTACTTATATTATAAATCGGAAATTGAGTTTGTTTGTTTGTTTGTTTGTTCCGCTTTCACGACGTAACTACGGATCCGATTTATTTGAAATTTTGCAGACGTAAAGTTAGAAGTCTGGATTAAATAATAGGGTACTTTTTATCCCGGAAAAATTTAATATTCCCGAGGGAAAACAAAAGTATTGGTATAGATGGCGCTGTGTGTTACGGTATATGTCACATAGGCTACTTTTTATCCTTTTGTGACGCGAGCGAAGTCGCGGGTAAAAGCTAGTAATAGTATAAGATAAGATTTGTATAAAAATTTTCGTAAGACATACTAAATTAATTATTATGTAACTGCTACTTGAGTCTCAGTTACAGCGCGACAGTCGCCGCGTGGCGGGTCGCGGAATGCTGCTCATGAATATGAGCCTCTAGTATGGCTTGAAACTAGTCGAGTTACTCGTCAAACAGTTACGTGAGTAAGCCGAAAACATAATAATTTATTTAGTATGTTTCCGACTTACTCACGTATTTGGGTTCGATTCCAGGGTCGGGCAAAGTATTACTGGGTTTTAAAAAAATTCTCAGTAGTAGCACGGAGTCTGGAATTGTGCCCAGTATATGGCAATAGGCTCACCTCATAACATAAATAGTGAAAAGTGGGTGTTACATTGTACAGTGGTATAATGTGCACCTCTGCCTAACCCTTCGGGGATAAAAGGCGTTATGTTATGTTATGTATGTCTTATGAAAGTTTTTATACAAATATAATAATAATACTCATCAACCTATATACCTTTCATTTAGATCCATTTAGCGTCATTCTGCGTGTAAGTCTATAGTAGCCAGGCGCCACAGTAGTTGTTCCAAGATACTGTGTCCGCCATTTTTTCAACGTCCTTGGCTACTTACCTCTCCTTGAAACTAGAGGCGTGATGTTATATTATATTAACAGGCCGATCCTGCCCTCTTTCAGCCAGTGGCGGTACCATGGCAAAATAAGAACGAAGTAAGATTTACAAAATACGGGTTTTAAAAACTAACGATAGTAATATGACCTATCTTCTTGGTTAAAAATCTAGATTTTAAGTGGTGTTATTTAGTAAAAATTAGTGCCTTTTCACACGTACCTGTTGTCGGGTAACCAGCTCCGACTGACCAGTATCACATTAGGCTTTCATGTGAGCCGAATTGGGTAGTTTCCAGGGTATCAGAATTAAAAATCTAATTAGTCCGTCAGTTAATGAAAAAATATTAGACACGTATTTTTTTATTTTCTCGTATTAATTTGCAATACTTAGATAAAATGGCGCTAAGTTTAGGAGTGGGAGGTTGTTACGTCATAATGTGCTACAAAATGTGACACGCTGTGACGTCACACCATATTTCAAATTAATATACCGTCGAAAGTATTTAATTTTGTGAGAGAAAAGAAAAAATACGTGTCTAAAGTTTGAAATTAATCTACCAGACGGACAATAAAATAAAATTTAGGAAACTACCCTATTTATATCCGGTAGCGCTTCGCAAGTACGTCGCGTAGTGATCGCACCTTTAGTGACAAGGCGCCGATGCGTATGAAAGTACTCGTCCGGGTGCCAACCGGATGCACAGTTTTTTTTACGGAACAGGAGGCAAACGAGCAGACGTATCACCTGATGGTAAGCGATCAGCGCCGCCCATGGACACCCACAACACCAGACGAGCTACAGGTGCGTTGCCGACCTTTTAGAAAGGAATAGGGGGAAATCCCTTAACGCCGGACGGCAGCTAACTCGGGACACTTGTATTATCTCGATAGCTAATAACGCGAGCGATTAAATTTTTATAGGGAAGTCTCCCACAGGCAGACATTTAAGATTTTTAGTAAATATTGAATCGCTTGTGATATCAGTTATAGAAATAATACAAGTGTCCGGCGTTAGGTGCCGTCCGGCGTTACGAGACTTCCCCCTATGGATCCTTCTGTGGATCCGGTGTGGTCGCTTGCCGGGTAGCCGGTGACGGGCACCTGAAACGTGTGAAAAGGCACTTATTGTGGTACCATTATTGGGCATTATTTTAGCTCCTATTACATGGGACTCATAACACAACTGGTTATAAGTGGGTGTTACATTGTATATTTAGACTTTACGGTGCCGTAAGATATGATGTTGTGTTCTGAATAAAATATGGGGATAAAGGAGAACTAACCACTAATCTTTAGATTATGAAATATCGTCCCCTAAATTTGTTCATACAAAAGCAGTCTGTAAACATTGGAAATAAGGTCTATAATGTAGTTAGTGGAGAGCGGTCACCGGTGACCTCTTGCGGATAAATGGGTTGTGGTCAATTTGAAATTTATTATGTTGGTGCTTTTTTTGGGTGATCGCCTCTGTTTTGATTCTGTGCTTACGGCTAATTACATCCTTACTAATATTATAAATCGGAAAGTGAGTTTGTTTGTTTGTTTGTTCCGCTTTCACGCCGTAACTACTAAACCGATTGCATTGAATTTTTGCAGACGTAAAGTTAGAAGTTCGGATTAAATAATAGGGTACTTTTTATCCCGGAAAAAATTTGATATTCCTAAGGGAAAACAAAAGTTTTGGTATAGATGGCGCTGTATGTATATGTCACATAGGCTACTTTTTATCTTTTTGTGACGCGAGCGAAGCCGCGGGTAAAAGCTAGTATTACATATTAAAATAAGTAAATGTATGGGTGTGACCAGTGGCGTACCTATAGCTGAAAGGAGCCCCGTTTAGAGGTTTTTATCTGAACTTCTCTGTCTTTTATTGGGAAGGGGGGCCCATCCGATGAATTTGCCACGGGCCCTGAATAGTATACACCATTGAGAGTGATACTAATATATCATTAAACAAATATATTATGTAAAAAACAAAGTACAGCAAACAGAATGGGAGCCACCATTGGCGAAGTAAGAACAATAATTGGTTCTTATGATTTTAGTACTTATTACTTACCTACTAAGGCTTTTCCAATTACCCCATTCATGTTCAGACCTTCTGCATAAGCTGACATTTAATGTTCAGCAAAAATATGTTCGATTATATTACCAATTGCAGTCCCAACTTCTTCCTCAAATTGGGTACTTGCCTTAATCAAAAATAAATCTTTCGACTGTTCAATTTAATGAAATATTAAAAAATAACACAAGCATTGTTTAAGTAAATAATATCCCTGTGAATAATATAAATTATGCATCACTTTTTAAATATTGATCTGCCCTTTCTTTATTTTGTTATGGATGTAAGAGCCGTAAGGCCAAGGAATTAATTGGGTACTTGCATTCATCAAAAATAAATTATTTCGACTGTTCAATACAATAAAATATTAAAAAATAATCACACTTTCATTAATTGATTTTATGTACAACTTAATTTTAGTATTTATCCAGCAATTTTCTAACAATTACGTATGCTGTTTGACTCTAAAAAACCGAGACGTCGTTTTTGACAGTTCGAAAAAAGTATTGGAAAGTATCAGCATCTTAGGAATGGGATAGTTTCCAGGGTATCAAAATTAAAAATCTAATTAGTCCGTCAGTTACATAATAAAAAAATATTAGACACGTATTTTTTTATTTTCTCGTATTAAGCTGCAATACTTAGATAAAATGGCGCTAAGTTTAGGAGTGGGAGGTTGTTACGTCATAACGTGCTACAAAATGTGACACGCTGTGACGTGACAAGATATTTCAAATTTATATATCGTCGAAAGTATTTAATTTTATGAGAAAAGGAAAAATACGTGTCTAAAGTTTTAAATTAATGTCCCAGACGGACATTTAAATAACATTTAGGAAACTACCCTATTATACAGTGATATTACTCGTGTGTTCTTATTAGGTGGATCCCTATCACCGGGCACTATTCTCTCCAGCTCGGAATGATGTCCACGCGCAAAGTACGACGGTGGTAGATCCTTGGAAGTCAGCTCCTGTCAAGGAACAGTGGAGAGATGAACAGGGTATGTCAATTTATAAGATAGAACCAGCAGACAGATCATCTGATGGTAAGCAATCAGCGCCGCATATGAACACCCGCAACACTAGAGGAGTTGCAAGTGAATCTCCACAATCCCTGAATCCCCAACAATTCTCAAATCCCTAATCCCTAAAAGGTCGGTAACGCACTTGTAACGCCTCTGGTGTTCCAGGTGTCCATGGGCGACGCCGATTGCTTACTGTCAGGTGATCCGTCTGCTCGTTTACTGGATTATGCTATAAAAAATATCGGTCTTTTTGGAGAGAGGGGTGATCCGGTCTTCACTGCCCTCACTCAGGCCTCTGCTTCAAATTTTGCGGCAGAATCTTATGCGTAAAATCAAACAAACCGGTTCTCGGTAGAGGCGCGGGCGCGGGCAATCAGCGGTGTATTCCAGTCAAGCGATGCCCGCCACGCCGCCGCCGCCCCGCTCCTGCAAAATTAGAGGCTGAGGCCTTACTCAGTTGCACACAACGTGGCAGATACAGAGCCGAAGCACATTGCCGAAGCATGGCGAGCCCACGTGATTTCTACACTCATAGATAATTTATTTTCATTTAAGAATCCATTTTCTCAACAAAGTACGCTTTTAATACATTATTATTTTGAAGACTATTTTAAGTATTTTTCAATGTCGTTTAGTTAAGATTTCTAGGTACAAAGAATCCGAAATTATATTGAGTTTTTCGCAATTGATTTACGAAATCAGATCAGTTCTTTAGATTTATTTATAACTCTCGTGAGACATACTAAATTAATTATAATGTTTTTCGGCTTACTCACGCCGCGTCGCGGGTTGTGAAATGCTGCTCATAAGTATAAACTTCTAGTATGGCTTGAAACTAGTCGAGTCAAATAATCTAATAGTAATGTGAGTAAGTCGAAAAACATAATAATTAATTCAGTTCTTTAGATATCAAAATATTGATTACTTTCAGATCGCGGCTCCATTCTGCCCAAGCCGGAACCCTGGCGCCTTCCATACGGTCTGACGAAGGAGCAGCAGGCAGCTATACTCCACCACAAACAGTCCTTGTCAGCTGGTAAGCTTTTTTTATGACATAAGCCAGTAAACGGGCAGACGGATCACCTGATGGTAAGCAATCGGCATCGCTCATGGACACCTAGAACACCAGAGGCGTTACAAGTGCGTTACCGGTCTTTTGGGAATCTGAGGATTTTGGGGGATTCGGGGATTGGGGAGACTGGGGAAGAGGGTAATTGGGCCTCCGGTAACCTCACTTACAAGACGAAACATAACGCAAGCGTTGTTTCACGTCTGTTTTCTATCAAGCCGTGGTATCACTCCGGTCGAGCAAGCCCATTCGTACCGAAGCATGGTTCTTCTATACATTAAACTTAATCTTTAATATGCTTTAATTTTAATCTCCTTTTATACCTAGACGGTGCCTTCCGCTTCGAATATGCTTCCGACAACGGTCTCGCAGCAGGGGAGCAGATAGAACCTGATGGCTCCAGGGTAGGAGCCTACCAGTACAAGGATCCAAGTGGTCAGCTCGTCAAGCTGAAGTATAGAGCTGGAAAGGATGGGTTCCAGGTAGAGTAACCATTTTTTTATGGAATACGAGGCAAACGAGCAGACGGATCACCTAATGGTAAGCGATCAGCGCCGCCCATAGACACCCGCAACACCAGAGGAGTAAAAGGTGCGTTGCCGGCCTTTTAAAAATGAATACGATCTTTTCTTGAACCATGAAGTTTCTTACTCGTTCTTCTTTATACGAATCTATATTTTGGGACGAGCGCATAGCTCCGTTTGGGGACTGACCGACAGACTATTTTTTACCGACTTCAAAAAAAGGAGGAGGCGGTATGTTCGTCTGATTGTTTTTTTGGTTGTTCGCCGATTACTCCGTCATTTGTGAATCGATTTCCAAAATTCTTGTTTCGTTTAAAAGGGTATACTTCCGAGATAGTCCCATTTCTATGAGGTCAGGATCTGATAATGGAGTCCTAGGGAAACCTAGTGGAACTTTCGAAAATTGTAGGGGCGAGTAATGCATCTGTTATGTTTCTTTATTTAAACGTAGTTTAGTAAATAATTACTAATTAACTAATCTAAAATATATAATCTTTCTCAGATCCTAGAAGGAAGTCACTTACCCAAGAGTCCAGAGCCGGTACCTCCAGCAAATGGTGGTGAGTTCCAATATCTTCAATGCTTTCAAACTCTTGACTTTCTAAACAAATGAGGCAATCGCTAGTGTAATCGAAGCTTAGAGTATTTATCGAAGTGAGTATAAAATTCAATGCATGGGTTTGACACAAATTGTCGAATGTCAATGTCAGCGGGTTGGAGATCGCAGTGTAAAAGGTTTCATCATCAACAGCCTATAAATGCCCACTGCTGAGCAAAGCCTCTTCTCACACGGAGAAGGTTAGAGCATTAATCACGACGCTCGCTCAATGCGGGTTGTTGATTTTAAACTTATAATTAGAAATATAAGCCCAGGTTTCCTCACGATATTTTCCTTCACCGTTTGTCAGTGGTGTCTGAATAACCTTAGAAAGTACATATAACTCGGAAAAAGTCACATTGGTACTTGCCGTTGGTACACACCCTCATGCATGAGGAGTCTTAAACCTCCGGGCCACCACGACACGTGTAAAGGGTTTAGGCTTTTTAAATACGCCATTAATAGTTCAACCTCGTTTCAGACCAATACTACCAACAGGCTTATGCCCAGCAGCGGCAGCAGTACACTCTGCAGCAACAATACAATCAGCAGAGACCTGAGCCTCAACAACAGTGGGGACACAACCAGGTGAGGATACCATCGTAGCGGCACAAGACGTCTACTGTAAATGAATATCAGACATAGTTAGGAGCCGGAGATTTTTTATTTATTTCTTTATTTACTAGCTTTTACCCGCGGCTTCGCTCGCGTCACAATAGGATAAAAAGCCAATGTGACATATACCAATATACACTGCGCCATCTATACCAATACTTTTGTTTTCCCTCGGGAATATCAATTTTTCCGGGATAAAAAGTACCCTATTATTAAATCCGGACTTCTAACTATACATCTGCAAAAATTCAAAGCAATCGGTTTAGTAGTTACGGCGTTAAAGTGGAACAAACAAACAAACAAACTCACTTTCGTGAGTAAACAAACACGTACTTGCGACCACTCGGCCAACGAGGCAGTCACACACAGCCAAAAATATATATATGTATTTTATTGTTTTTCTCAGGGTCCCAGTGCTGAACAGAGGCCAGCCAACAACCAGTATTACGGATCCAACTGGAGACCGCAGACTGCTGGGGAAGATGACGGACAGGTAAAATAATTATGTACTGACGTCACAGCGTAGCGCGCGCTGCTCATGCATAAGGAACCCGGTTTAACTTGAAACTAGTCGAGGTTTCCTCTATATTGTAATAAGAGTAACTTTGTTTTTTTATGGCATAAGCCGGTAAACGAGCAGATGGATCACCTGATGGTAAGCAATCGGCGCCGCCCATGGACACCTGGAACACCAAGGCGTTACAAGTGCGTTACCGGCCTTTTGGTAATTGGGAATTTGAGGATTGTGGAGGATTCGGGAATTGGGGAGACTGGGAAGGAGGGGGCGTAATTGGGCTTCCGGTAACCTCACTCATTACATTTCCTTTTCATTTCATCATTATAATTCCAGTATAATTCGTAATTTAACTAGAAATCGCGGGTTACTCACGTAAAAACACTGAGGAACTGTGTTTACTACGTCGTCGGCTAGTCTAGTTAGACAGACTGGCCACCATGATCGATATCGATCGGGAGATTTATTATTATTGTTAAATGATATTTTGTTCAACTGTTGATTTAATTAAATATACTATTTTGTTTCAGTACCGTGAAAATGAAGTTGATCTAAACAAACCTCACAGCTTCGGGGAAGGCTACGCGTTCGCTTTTCAGGGATAACTCAAAAACACCCTTAGGACATTAACGACATCTGTTGGTCATCTTGTGAACTACTTGAAAGTTTCCCCTTAGACTTAGAGGGTGCTCCATTTGTCCATTGTGCTTCGTTGCGTCGCAAAAGCGTCGCAGCTGCGTCTTAGATACAAACGTGGTGACTGTCCGTCGAAGCAGCGCGTCAATCCTGCTTCGCCTCTTGTCCGTCAATCTGTTGAAGGTAATAAAAATATATGGAAAACGACGCTGTGACGACGCAATGTAGCGCAACTGACAAGTGGGGCCGGGGCCTAATATCACTTAAACGCTAGTCGAACGGTTGAATAGACAAATTTATGTACCTATGGGCTTGAGATACATAATTTGTCAAATGCCATTCCCGTACATTAATCTTTGTATTTTCTCGTCCGGCTACTATTGAAATGTGGGCTTAAATAGGTGTTACAGTTTCTTAAATAAAGCGCAGTATTATAATATCGGTCAAATTATAATAGGGGCTACCATTTTAAGTCACCAAACGGCACAAATATACAAATTTTTGTTCAATCACTGCAGCTGTTAAATATTGAACTATTGGACGAAAAACGAGAGTGGCACACTAGCACCATCTAGTGAGCAACATACAGTAGCGTCTAGGCTTCTTCATCGAGTGGTGAGTGGAAATAAACTTCTGAATTCTTGTTGCGTTTTCGAAATAGGGTAGAAGCCTAATTTTTATTTTAATGTCCGTCTGGTAGATTATTTTAAATCATTAGACACGTATTTTTTATTTTCTTACAGAAACGAATACTTTCGACGATACATTGATTTGAAATGTCGCGTTACGTCACTTCTATGTTCATTTTATTCGTAGAAATGACGTTTTAACCCCCATTACTAAACTATGATGCGTTTTATTTAAGTATTGTTTTATTATACGACAAAATAAAAAAATACGTGTCTAATATTTTTTCATTACCTAACTTACGGATTAATTAGATTTTTAATATTCATACCCTGTCATCATCCCTATTGTATCAAGTAGCTCAGAGCTTGGAATGCTCATATGTGATGTTCATAATGTTATTATAATGGGTTAACTTCTTTATACGGGACTCACACAACGAGGTTTTCAAAATACGGTGTTACATTCAATAATATTTTTGTTGGTCCCTATGTAGTGCACCTCTTGCCCCTTCTGAGATTAAAAGGCGTAATGTATATCGAAGTCAATATACAAGGTGTTGTTTTAAAGCCGCGTCATTTTCTAGGAGGTAACTCTGATATCGATTCTGAATCCAATAAAAAAAATTGTAGGTAAATATTTTAAATTTTTCTGAAATTCCGAAAATCCGTAAGTGCGAAGTACACGCCGCTATCTTGTAACTAGTTTTATAACGCGGCTTAACACACACAAACTCAAACACGTAATTGATATTATTCCTAATTCCATAAAACTCCAATAAGAAACATTGCTGTCGCTTATTCTGAAATAATGTCGAACTTAAACGATTTATTATAGCTGTATTTTTAACTATTGGCCCGAAATTTGCTCTTACATTGAACCTTTATGACTTCTGTGACATGCCCCCGAGAAATGACACGGTTTTAAAACTACACCTTGTATAATTATTTAATTGTCATACTCAGAGATATTACCCAAACTGTCCCTTAGTAACGATTTTGTTTCGGAAACAATTGCGTACCTGCCAACTAGTCAAATTCAATACTTTTTCGAACTGTCAAAAATGAGAGTTTTCTATGAATTTTGTACGAGATTGTGAATTGTGACGTCACGTTTTTTAGCGTCAAACAGCATACTTATTTCTTAAAAATTTGCTGGAAAAGTACTAAAATTAAGTTGGTCATAAAATCAATTAATGGAAGTGTGATTATTTTTTAATATTGTAAATTATTGTATTGAACAGTCGAACTAATTTATTTTGGACTAAGGAAAGTACTCAATTGCTAAAGACTCGGTTATGCATCCATTAAATGTTTCTGAGTACGGCATTTAGTGCTACAGAATCAAAGAAAACTATTTCTATCCTTTTCTTTTTTAAGAAGTAAGAGGGAGACGGAAATAAATTATCATTGTTTTAGTAACAGTTTCAAAAAACAGATGTCGTTACTTTCGATTGCTTTTAATATTGTACTTATGTAGATTACTGAGTAATAATAAGTAAATTATAATTATACTGAAGATATTTTGTTTTATTTATGCCTTTGTCAGCACCCCTTCCCGCTCAGATCTTCCCGCGGGTGTCGTATACCCAACTAAGGGACTACACATTTAACAGAGACCGGGCAGCAGCGCTCTCTGATAAACACGAACCTTTAAGATCTCCAACCTGCTATCGGAGATTCTGGCAAATCCTTTTTTGTAGAGGAGACTCCTACCGAGTTTAGGAGATTGATGAGTGTTCCCCTACAATACGCTACATTTTTTAAGAATAAGGAGCAAACACCTTGGACGAATTCTTAAACGATGAGTTACCTAACACTTAATAAACTAAATAAAAAATTGGTTGCCTGTAAAGTCGGTATACGGGCGAAAGTTTTACGTGACAACGACTTTGAGTGGTAAAATAATTTTAATGTGAATTCATTTGTATAGTAGGAAGAAGGATGAAATAATTCACTTTTTATGTGTGTCTCTCTCGCTCTTAGGCGGGTTAACCATGCTCGAGTGGAAGGGACGCGTGCCTCTCACTCGCTCTCATTGTGAGCGCATAACGTGAGCGGAGCGTAACACAGTTTCTTGAAGTGTCACCCGGTGTTGAGTCATGCACTCAGTGGCCTCCGCTGCGCACTGGAGGGGATGACGGACGGCGGCGTGCGCGGCGACGACCGCCTGCCCCGCACGGCCCCGACACGCCAGTTAGCTGTTAGACACTACGAAGCACGTCCGCGCTCGCGCCTCCTAATCCAGTTTAATTATATTAATTTTCTTATAACCGTTATTGTAACAGTCTAGTTAATTATTATATTACGTATTATACAGTCCACAAGAATATTATTTGCTCTCCACTTAACCATCGATCCAACATTTGGTCCTTCTACCGTTAAAATTTGAACCGACGATAGAACAAAGAAAAATTCAAAATCGGCGACGGTTATGCAAGTCATCCAGCAGTGAATTTTTTCTGCGGTCTTCATCGTGCCAGCATCGAATTTTTCATCGTGCCTGCTTCGAGGTATTCATCGTGTCTGCAATTGGTTCGTCGTGAACATCGGCACGGCTTCACTTTAGCCGTCTTAGCCGCCTTCAAGCCAACGGACAAGCCATCAAGTGGAACCACATCAGCTCAGCGGTTGCAATACATACCTTGAGATTGTCGTCGTGCATCGAGAAACGTGAAGAATCTCCTCGTCACAATCAACATAAGTGGTTTGCGCCAACAAAACCGTGAGATCGTTCCATTTATTCCTCAATCATACCTCTCATAATCAATATCATTAACCTCATTTCCTATAGATAATTTCATTAGTTTTCATCGCATATTATTATTGCAAATCATTCAAATCATTTTTCCTTCCACCCTCATTTAGACTGTTACATCTCTTATCACGATCACATTTCATTTCATTGCTTCATAAGTTAACAAGCTTTTAGTGCCCATTGTAGTCAATTTTCATATACATACATTGTATAATTCAAATTATTTATTTCAATGTGTAAATTTTTTTTAGGATTCAAAACAATTTTGATGAATAATTAAAGGCCTTAAAATTTTATTACAGCAAACTACGCTTCTGCATCTAACTCAAATAATATTTCCGCAACATATTGCTATTGATTTTGACCAGGCACTTGCAACGCGTAAACGCCTTGATAAAATTTAATAGCAAAATTTAGATCTTGCTTTTGCTCGTAATTTTCAACAGACCCTCACTTTTTTATCTTCATCTACCTTCACGCTTCTTCTGCTTCTTAAGCAATTATGGCCGACATTAAAAGCCTTATCAAAAAGCGAGCTTCGCTTAAAGCTAAGCTTACACAATTCTCTTCCTACCTAAACGTAGTCAAGTCTTGTGAAAAGTTGAGTGATATTCAGCTAATTGAAATTGAACATCGGCTTCATATATTCGAAAACCTTTACGAAAAATACGATACTTTACAGATGGACCTGGAGGAAGCGGTGGACAACCCCAGCGAGCAATATGCGGAACGCGAGGAATTTGAGAAGCTCTATTATGCTTTAGTTGCTTCTTCGCGTCAGCTGATTGGCAGTGCTCGTGGGCATCTTACGGGGGACTCCGCGTCCGAGGTGGTATCTGATACTTCGCACAAACACAAACACTCATCAGTTCGCTTACCCAAAATTGAACTACCTAAATTCTCTGGCAGCTATCATGATTGGTTAGAATTTAGGGACACATTTATTTCCATTATACATAAAAATGAAGCCATAGACAAAGTCAATAAATTGCATTACCTTCGTGCTTCTTTGACGGGTAGCGCCTCTCTTATTATTGATAATTTAGAGTTTGGTTCAGATAATTACGATACTGCATGGGAGTTGCTCTGTTCTAGGTACGACAACAAAAGACTGCTTGTCAATAACCATGTTCAAGCCATTTTTAATCTGAATAGTATCAACAAGGAGTCAAGTAAATCATTACGTCACATAGTTGACACAGTAAATAAAAATTTAAGAGCCTTGTCTACTCTTGGTCAGCCAGTCCAGCACTGGGACACTCTGATTATTTACATAGTGACCAGCAAGCTTGATCAAGTGACGAATCGTGAGTGGGAAGAGCACAGAAATTCTTTAGCTGACCCTCCAACATTAGGCGTGTTTGTAAACTTTATCAGTAGCAGAGCTGACTTATTGGAGACACTCGAAGAGTCTAAACCGTTTAAATACAAAACTGAAGGCATTGTTAATAATATTCATAAATCCAAATCTTTTGCAGTAACATACGAGTGTTCAAACTCAAAACCTTTATCTTGTGCCATTTGTAAAGAAAGTCATTTCCTGTTCCAATGTGACAAGTTTAGAATCTTGCCAGTTCAGGACAGA